ATCGTACATGTACTCATACTGACTCGTACCAATCAAAGTCAATATGTTGCACTGGTCATGTGGTTTGTGAGCTGCCAGGGAGCACTTAGACTTGTTCTTTTTAAAATTAAATCACAATGAAAAGTGAAATAAAATTATAATATATCTCAGGCTCACTGGTATAATGTAATACAGTACCAGTACCGTCCAATGACACTGTCAAGGTGAGTGCTTACTGGAACCTGTACGATGGTAGGATCATCATCCGGTGCCTTGCCGACTGGCGTGGGCGATACAAGTACTATATTATATATAACATCTGTCCCTGTCGTTTTAAGCAAGAAAAATTCAGAAATTATGCAAACTGAGCCGAAAAATGTGAAATTATGCGATTCTGTTAATTTTAACAAAGAATAATAAAGGAAAATAATAAAAAAATTATGCAAAATATGATCAAATTTTGCTAAATTATGCGGGGTGCATAAAACCACGGGGACAGTAACATGTACTGTGCACTCATGCCCAGTGACATTGATCTTTGACTGGCTTGAGTTGCTCTCTGCCCGACACCAGATGGCACAAGGTGGCCAGGAGAAAACACGAAGGAGACTTGGAGAAGAATTACAATCGAGATCAATAACAGTACAATGTAACAATACGTGAATAGATCTGGCCTGACTTTATCATTTATATGAATCTCACCATACAAAGAAGATTATGAACATTGCCTGTTTTGTACAAGTTCAAGTAATTTTTATCCAAGCATTCCAATGAAGATAAATACAAGAGATATTTCTTTCCATTTTTCTCCATTCATTTACTGTGACTGTGATTGTTAAAAAAAAATGTTTAAAATAAACTACGAATGTACAAGTAAGACCACGAAACACTAATTATACGAAACCAATCTACTTCCGCGGTTATCTCCCCTGTATAATGATGCTCGTTGTTGCTGATTCTGTTCAACGTGATGCGTGGTAGAGACACAAAACATTGGGACAGACCACAGTACTGTGAGATAGATAACGTCGGTAAAACTATCAAAACGTGCATTGTTATTCAGTTTTCATTTAAATGTAAGTATTAGATCTAGATCTTGGTTGATTTTAGTTTTTAACCTTTGTGTTGCAGGATTGATTCTCAGACTCGCCATGCCACAAGCCATAACAGAGAAGAAGATAAGAACATGTTTGACTCTGATTGACAATGATTCACAATTACATATTTGCTTGAAGTTGAAGTAGAATCTAATCAAATTACAACTTTTATCTCACACTGCCTTACCTACTTTTAGTCTTAGTCATATTCTTATTTTAATGATTTCCATCCAGTAATAAGAATGAAATGCAAAATGAAAGTAAACGTTAAAAAAGAATTCACACCTTGTCCTTAGCGCCTTAGCCTTGGCCTTGGTTTATTTTTTGGTAGTGTCAATTGCCACCGAGTGACGCGGTGGCAATTGACAAAAATTGACTTTTTGTCAATTGCCACCGAGTAAATTGGAGCTCTTTTGCGTTGGTGGGTAGTAGATCTAGATTGCTCGAGTGCTCAGTGTTGTGCGTTCGCCTCTCTGTCCCTCTGTCCTCTGTGTGTGTGTGTGTTTGTGTGTGTCTTCTCCTGACCCCCGTCCCCCGATTATGTTCCCCAATATAACGTGAATTTCTGCTTGAGTTTGTGTGCGTTTGTGACCTTCTAGTCTACTTCTAGAATGGCCTGTGTTGGTTCTACACCAAAGTGTAGGCTAAGGCTAGCCTAGATCTAGATTTTGATGAAAACGCTGTTGCAAGAGTGGGGCTATTCAGATTGATCAGACGTAGAAAATCTAGAATTTGGTATTTTTTTTACTTTCCCTCCCGTCTCACTCTCAGCTACCAGTTGTCTATTTTCTACTAAATATTGATGCGCTGAACACGAATATCAACTTCATTTCCGTCACAAATGGTCTAATTAATAGTTTTTGAAATATTTTATTGTTTTTAACCGAGATAGACATGCTTTGGACCAATCGGGGGGTTCCAGGGGGGCCTGCCCCACTGGGGTAAAAGAAAATCTGGGGGGTTACAGGGGGGGCATGTCCCCCTGTTTTTACCTATAATTTGATATTTTACAGTTAGATTTGAAATTGTCTTGAAAATAATTGATTTGCGACAGTTTTAGTGGCTTTATGTGTGATCTGCAGCAAACAGTACAGCAGTTTGACCCCTGAAACAGCGCATCTGTGTGCGGGAGTGAAAGTAAAAATTTACCTAGAATTTAGATCTAGGGCCCTACCGCGAGGCTGAGAGTGAGAGTGACGGGTCGGACACCCCGATTGAACTAAAGTTAGAACATTTCCAACAGTTTGCGCATACATAAAGTAGACCTGCATGTTTGCCGACAATCGTCTGAAATCCGACAATCGCGACCCGACCCGCGAACCGGCCGATGCTATCGCTAGGCCCGCCTGTATCAGTCAATGTGCGTAGTGCGAGGCCTGGCCGACTCCCAGCGACCCCTTTTTCTCCCGTCGGCTTCGTCGGCACTTTCGTTTTTGTGCCGACGTCGGCGTTTCCGACATAATTGGCGGAACCTAAGTAGAAATGCGAATACGAAAAAGGACGACAACTTAAATTATCTACTTTGTTTCGTGCTCGAGCGGCCATTTTGAATTTAGTTTGTTGACTAATTCAATTGTTCAGATCGTGTGGATTCATTCAAGTCTGACTCTCTTGTTCTTTTAGAATATAGATCTAGAATCTAGATTTATATAGATCATTATAGACCTCAATGGAGGATTCAGATTCCAATTCTATTGTGTCAAACCCTATCATAGGTTGTGCTGTAATATTAATATTGGTAAAAATAAGCATTTCATCAGGTGCGTGAATTATTTATTTATTTAGATCTAGAATCTAGACTCGGCTGAGTCCCTCTGTTCGGAATCGGATGGGGATTTCTAGTTCATGGCCTATATTCCTATTCACTTGTTCTACAAGATCTAGATCTAGATTTATTTAGATTACTAGATCTAGATAGATGGAGGATTCATATTCCAATTCTATTGTGTTATTGTATCAAACCCTAAAGCAATGTAGATGTGTAAGCCATATAGATCTAGAATATAGATCTAGATCTATGCTCCTTGTTTGTTTTGGAGTGTGGTTTTTCAATTAAAAATTTTTTTTTTCATTTAGGACTTGTTTTGGCCTTTTTACATGAGGCCCGTTGCAGGTTCTTTTTGGGGGTAGGGTTAGGGTTAGGTCTCTTCTTTATTGTGTTTGTTGGGGTGGTCGCTCATTACCCGGATGTCCTTCCTTATGACACCCACAAAGGCTTTTTTTGGGGGGGGGTTGCGCAAAATTTTCAGACAATCTGGTTGAGGCTCACATGCAGGTCTAATAAAGTATAAAGTTATATTTTTCTGAAACTACATTCATTATACGTTTTAACTTTTATTTTTTCAGGATTTTTGGAATTTGTTTAGTATTTTTGAAATGTGTTTTTTTAAAGGCATGTATTCACGGGAGGTGGGTTCCTTCCCCTTGCTTAGGATCTAACAATGGACTTCCCGTCCAGACCCTTAGGGTGTATTGTGTTAAGGTGCACTGGAATGGATCCCTTAATGTTACATTTTTTGTTGTACCCACATAACAAGTAATGTTTCTGTGTATATTTATTATATTTTTGTTTTGTTTTGGGTTGTTTTTTCTAGCTGTGCCCCCAAGCAGACTGACTTTGAGGGGCTGGGATGGACGTGGACATGGAGAGTGAGTGCGGTTCGTCTGACGATGACAGCGTGGATCAGGAAGAGCTGGAGGTGGCCTTGTACAGCCAGATACACTTCGACCATGCCGCAGGCTCAGAGGACCCCTGGCTGGCTCACATCGACGGGCTCGGCAGGAGTGGGAGAATCACACTTTTTGAGCACCAGTTCTCCTCCCCGATTCCCGACGTGATCAAGGTGTCGGAGTCGGAGAGCACTAACTCATCTGCTAGCGAAGAGAACGACAGCGCGGACGAAAGGTCGAAGCGGCGGAGCCATGTCAAGAAAACCGTCGGTAAATCGCGGATTTCGAAGAAGAAGCGTCACGGTGGTTATTTTGTGGTTGACAGAACGCCCAAACACAAAGTGTCGGTCAAGAAAAAGTCGGAGAAGCTGCCTGTGAAGACAGAGTTTGCCGTCGTCCCAGAAGACGACTGCTTGCTCACTGAAGTGGAAACCCTGCCCGTGAAATCGGAACTTCCGTTTTTGAAACTGGAGGGCATCTCGGCTGACTCGGAGCCCGTGTGCATCGACATAGACTTCCCTCCTGTAGGGTCCGATGTTCCCCTCATAGGGACCCAGCTACCCTCTACAGAGACAGATTTGCCGCCTGTGAAGGAAGAGTTGCCGCCTTTGGAGATAAACTGGACGTTTATGAAGCCAGAGTCGGGGCTAGTAAAGCCCGAGTCCCTACCTACAGAGACAGAGGAGTTGCCGCCCGTACCCCCGGAGGCGCCCCCTGTAACTGCCGAGTTGCCACGTGAAAAGACGAAGCGGCCCTCTCTTAAGACAAAGCGGTCTTCTGAGAAGACAAAACTATCCTCTGTAAATGAAGAGTTGCCCTCTGCTAAGACAAAACAGTCCTCTGTAAAAACAAAGCAGTCGTCTGTCAATAAAGAAGCAAAACAGTCTTCTGTGGATAAAGACTCAAAGCGGGCATCTGTGAATAAAGACACAAAACAGTCGTCTGTAAAAAAGGAAACAAAGCAGTCTGTAAATAAAGAAGCAAAGCAGTTGTCTGTGAATAAAGAAGCAAAGCAGTTGTCTGTGAATAAAGAAGCAAAGCAGTTGTCTGTGAATAAAGAAGCAAAGCAGTTGTCTGTGAAGAAAGAAGCAAAGCAGTTGTCTGTGAAGAAAGAAGCTAAGCAGGCATCTGTGAAGAAAGAATCTAAGCAGGCATCTGTGAAAAAAGACACAAAACAGCCGTCTGTAATTAAAGACACAAAACAGCCGTCTGTAATTAAAGACACAAAACAGTCGTCTGTAAATAAAGACACGAAACAGTCGTCTGTGAATAAAGAAACAAAGCAGTTGCCTGTGAATAAAGACACAAAACAGTCTTCTGTAAGTAAGGAAGAAAAACAGTCGTCTGTAAATAAAGACAAAGACACAAAACAGTCTTCTGTAAGTAAGGAAGCAAAACCGTCATCTGTGAATAAAGAAGCAAAACCGTCATCTGTGAATAAAGAAGCAAAGCCGTCGTCTGTGAATAAAGAAGCAAAACAGTCTTCTGTGAATAAAGACACAAAACAGTCTTCTGTTAATAAAGAAGCAAAGCAGTTCTCTGAAAAAACAAAGCAGTCTTCAGTAAAGAAAGAAAAAAATCAGGCTTCTCTAAAGACAAAGCCGTCCTCTGTAACTAAAGAGACAAAGCAGTCCCCTGTGAAGACGAAGAAGCCCTCTGTGAAGACGAAGAAGTCTTCCGTAAAATTAAAATCTTGCTTCATCAAATTAACACGACTCGACGTGGAATCGCTGGGCTTGCCTGTGACACTAGAACCACCCGCTGTGCCAGACTCGGAGGTAACCGACAGCCGTGCTGCGGGCCTGATTCGATTCATGGCTCGGAGAAGAAGTAGCACCGCTACCGCCATGAACGAGGAAGAGCTGGATCAAGATGAAACACTGCAGGCGCTGTTGTCTTCGAGCGATGGTTCCCCCCAGAGTCGCGGGGGTGCTTCGCCGGCTGCCCGAGGCCAGAGAGAGTTCCCTAAGCCAGGGCCGTTCATCAAACTGACGAAGCCCGACGAGTCTGAGCGGCCGACGAGGAAGGACAAAAAAGCTGTGACCAAACTGCAAGTTTCCGTGAGGCCCAGACAGCCCCCGGTCCGTCTCCGGAAGCCGCAGACGCTGAACGTCGTGTACCGGCAAGACAGTGACACCAACACGGACTACAGCGACAGCGAGGAGAGTGTCATGTCGGTGGCCCCGCTCAGGTCTTTCAAGAGCAAGTCCCGCATTTCTCCGATACAGGGGAGTGGGAGCAAAGCTGCCGCCGGTGAGTGATGATCTCTCGTTTTGACAGTTTCAGAAAATTGTCTTTTTTCTTCTTCTGTGTTTGATGGGTGGGGTTGACGGGTGCTCTGATGTGGTTTGCTCCTTCTTTCCTATATAAAAAACTATCGTCCTTCTCTCTCCTCCTCCTTTTTTGTGTTTGTTACTCCCTTGTAACACCTCTAATCTTCGTCACTTATATGACCTTATTGTGTTGCAAGTGCCGTACAACTCTTTATTGAACTAGAACTTTTATGTTTCAGAAGATTTTTCTGTATACACTGTGTTGTTTTCTTGAAGAATATGACATGGAAAATGACTTTCTTACCAATTTTTCAATTTTTGTGATCACTTGCCTTTGAGAGTCTTGTGAAATGACATCTCCTGTCTGTGAAACCGTTGTCAATTGTTCCTGCACGTTTGTCAGGCAGTGTGGACTATGTTTCACAATTCTCTTGTTCTTGCCTTTTATTACTTTTAACTTTTATGCGGGTGGTTGGCGGGAGCTCTGGTGTGGTTTGCTTCTTCTTTCCTATCAAACATCTATCATCCTTATCTCCCCTTCTTTTTTATGCTTGTTACTCTCTTGTAACACCTCTAATCTTCTGGCGCTCATATGACCTTATGCAGTTGCGAGCGCCGTAAAACCTCTACTAAAACTACTAAAACTAACTATAACTTTTATCTTTTTCAAATGAAGATGCATCAAGGCACCATACTTTAATACATGTGAGCAAAAGGCAGAAAGCCCTTCACATATATACATTTCACAAACTTTGACTTTGTGGTAAAAGTGTGAAAAATGAGATACCTATAACATGTTCCACAATCCCTTGCTTTTGGCACCTCTTGTTTACGTCACCCTCATTTTCGAATATGAAGTTACAGAATTTGATGTGATTTTTTTTTTTTTTTAGTTTTAAATTTTTTGTGCTTTGTCATCATAGGTCCTTTTTTTGGAAGTGACTATGTTCCATGTTGAAAAAACCCCCAGTGGGATTTTAAAAAAGATGTGTAGTGATGTTTTCCGTCTAAGGATGAGACTCGTATTTTCATACTGTCTCCCCCTATATTTTTCCCCAGTTCCCGCCAAGCCGTCTAAAAAGTCAGAAACAAATTTGGGTGATAGCGTTAACACCAGCACATGTTCTCCTGAGGAGGATAGGCAAAGTCCTGAAAGCTGTGAAGAAAAAGCTGTGAAAAGGGAAAAAATCGGTGCCGCTGCTGCTGTCGAAAACAAGCCGATCGACGATGACATGGACGATGTAAAAGAAATTCTTGTCGATGAACCGTCTGTTTGTGATGTGTCTTCTGAGAGTGGGAATGATGTTAGGGAGGAGGAGGAGGATGTACAGGTGTTGGAAGACGTCAAGGATGAGGCAGCGGTCTGTGATGTGTCGTCTGACAGTGGCAGTGAGAATGTGCCGGTGCAAGGAGAGGTACAGGTAGTGGAAGAGATGAAGGAGGAGAAGGAAGGAGTGGTACTTGTGTTAGATGATGATTTAAAAGAGGAGGAGGAGGAGGAAGAGGGAGAGGTGCAGGTAGTAGAAGAGGTGAAGGAGGAGGGGGAAGAAGGAGAGGTGCAAGTATTAGAAGATGATGTGAAAGAGGAGAAGGAAGGAGTGATACACGTGTTAGATGATGATATGAAGGAGGAGGGGGAAGAAGGAGAGGTGCAGGTAGTGGAAGATGATATGAAAGAGGAGAAAGAAGCAATGGTACAAGTATTAGAAGACAATGAGAAGGAAGAAGGAGAAATACAGGTATCAGAAGAAGATGTGAAAGAGGAGGAGGAGGAAGGGGAGGTACCAGAAGAAGAAGACAATGTTAAGGAGGAAGGAGAAGTACAGCTTTCAGAAAACGAAGATTCTGAAGAGGAGGAGGAAGGAGAGGTTAAAGAAGAAGAGGAGGAAGAAGACATGTTGGACGTAAAACAGGAAGAAGGAGTTTCGTCTGGTGATGATAGCGACAGTTCGAGTGACGAGGAAGAAGATGACAGTGCGGAGACTTCGTCGTCGACCGACTCGGAGAGTTCGTCGGGGGCGGATCAGGCTGACGAGTCTCTAGTAGATCCCAAGTTGGAGTTTAACCTCGAGGGAGATCTGAACGACTTACTGAAAGAGCCCAAGGTTGAAGGTGAGCGAGGGTTTTTAGTTTTTTTTTTCATTATTAGTTTTAAGTTGGACTTTTTATTTAAGTAAATTTGTAAATTTATTTGGTTTTTAACTCATTCGCTACACCGAGCCGTGCGGGGCGGCGCGGCTAAAGTGCCGTCAGTACGCTAAGCCGCCCCCGGCGGCTCGAGAACCGATCTTCAGTTTTAGCTTTGATTCTATTCCAATCCACATATCCATGTTAAAATAAAGGTCATAATATAATGTTGACTTCCGGGTCAAGCATTTCCACTGAAAATCGGAAATTTAGATTCAGTTTTAAAACGCGATTTCGTAGTTTATCTTACTTTGTTTTATCGCGATGCCAAAATTATAGCCCGGACACCAGTTTTAGTAATTTTACACAACAAAGTCTATCATTATTTTGCACACTAAAGAAATGTAGGACTCTTTTTTATAATATTGATACGATTGGGCTCATATTGCCAGTGCACTGTTATTGAGAAATCAATATTTTTGAGTGCTAGATCTAGGTCTAGATCTAGATCTAATAAATTGTCAAAATATTTTTTTTCTCCCCAAAACCTCTACTTTTTGATGAAATTACACAAAAAGTGCCACTCCAGACATGTATAGGTTTATTCCAAATGCAATTCTGAATAATTCCATATATAACATACGAGTGGGTTTTTTCTGTTAGTGATCGTTTTTCAAGATTATAAAAAAACATTATTTTTTTCAATATCGGATGTTATGTTCAAAATGTACAAATATTATGGAATGTAGGTAAATAACTGCAAACTTTTCAATATTTTCCAGTTCTATATTCATTTATGGTTATTTTGATGTATCGTTTGACTAGGTGCAAACATATTTTTTGAGTTTCATCAAAGATTATTAATTGTTTATTTCCAAATTTTATCCGCATCCAATCAAAATTGTGTTGCATAATTGTCTCTTACAGGAACCAACGTCGAAAAATTCATAAATGAACATTACAGATGTATTCTACAAACCATACTGAAAATATTGGTATATAATATGTTGATATTAACTAATGAATGAGTGTGTATTGTTTCTGAGTGAGTTTGTTATTTCTTTGCGTTGTTTCTGAATGAGTTTGTTATTTCTTTGTGTTGTTTATTAATGTGTTTGTTATTTCTTTGCGTTGTTTTTTAATGAGTTTGTTATTTCTTTGTGTTGTTTCTGAATGAGTTTGTTATTTCTTTGTGTTGTTTTTTAATGAGTTTGTTATTTCTTTGTGTTGTTTTTTAATGAGTTTGTTATTTCTTTGTGTTGTTTTTTAATGTGTTTGTTATTTCTTTGCGTTGTTTTTTAATGTGTTTGTTATTTCTTTGCGTTGTTTTTTAATGTGTTTGTTATTTCTTTGTGTTGTTTATTAATGTGTTTGTTATTTCTTTGCGTTGTTTCTGACTGTGTTAATTATTTCTTTGTGTTGTTTCTGAATGAGTGTTATTTCTTTGCGTTGTTTTTTAATGTGTTTGTTATTTCTTTGCGTTGTTTCTGACTGTTTGTAATTTCCTTGCTTTGTTACAGAGCCGGAGGTGGACAACTGGCAGGTCAACGAGGCGGACCACTACCGGGTCACCACCACGCTGAGCCGCTACTTCTGCCCCAAGAAGATCCAGTGTCGCAACTGTAAGGAGGAGGGTCATCTGTCCAGGGATTGTCCCGAGCCTCCGGTGAGTGCCTCTGTGGTATTTGTGCTGCGATATTTGTGGTCTGTCACCAAAACCTGACAAGTACTCCCCCCCCCCCCCCCCCCCCCCCAGGACAGTGCTACTGACTGAAGTTGTCTTTGGGACATTCCCAAAAGGGGGATATTAACATGTTCTTATACACAGTGGAATCAATGTTATGCTCATACTGTGCCGGAACAGTATAGGGGGAACTGCTGCTTTTACTTTCTTCATCCTATCATAATATGTTCTCTACTTTTTTTGTTTGTTTGTCACTTTCTTGTGAACTGGTTGTGCTTTTGAGGTTAGAGAGGTGAGCAGAGTAAGCCTGATTCCCCGTTTAGACTTCTCTGTTGACATCCACCCCTTGGCGCTCATATGACCTTATGCAGTTGTGAGGACCATAAAACTTTACTAAAACTAAACTGATGTGTACTTCGATAAAATTGGATCTCTCTGAATTTTTTTTTCTTTTTCCGATCGAAGAGCCCTGATAAGATATGTATAGAGTGTCATTTTATTTTTTACTTGAATTCAGTTTCTGTCAGGTTGTATGCAATTTAGTTAGATAATTTCATTTTTCCCTTCAGTAGATGGCTGTTATTATGTTGTTATGATTTTTTTCCCCTCACACCTACTAGTCAGATGTCTTTGAGTGGCCGGAAGGCGCCACTGGTAGGTCCTACTTCTTTACTTTCCGTCTGCTATTTCTGTCTGCCTGTCTGACCCTTTTCCAGCACTAAATGACCATTATTGTGTGGATGTGCTTTGATTTGCTTGAATAAACAAATCTGAATTGATGTAGTCCTTCTTTCCTATCAAACATCTATCGTCCTGATCTCCCCTCCTTCTTCTTTGTGTTTGTTACTCTCTCTTGTAACACCTCTAATCTTTGGCTCTTATATAACCTTCTTGTGTTGCAAGTGCCGTAAAACTCTTACTGAAACAATCTTTGGCACGTATATAACCTTCTTATATTGAAAGTGCCGTGAAAACGCTTATTAACAACTAAAACTCAAAATGTGAGTTTTAAAAATGGAACTAAAAAAACTTGAAACTTTGCGATGACCTTGCAGAAGCGTCGGTGCGTGTTCTGCGGCATGGAAGGACACCTGTTCCAGACGTGTCCCGCCAGTTGCTGCCGCAGGTGCGACAAGCCCGGTCACAATCAAAGAGACTGCCGGAGCCCGTGGCGCGACCCGACTAAGCCATGCGGGAGGTGCTGGCTTCCTGGGCACTTCACCGAGGTTCGAATCTTGTTTGTGTCTTCGTTTGATTGTTATTTATTGTAAAACTATCTGTCCCCGTGGTTTTATGCGCCCCGCATAATTTAGCAAAAATTGATCATTTTTTGGGCATAATTTCTGATTATTTTCCTTTATCATTCTTTGTTAAAATTAACAGAATCGCAATATTTTCACATTTTCGGGCTCAGTTTGCATAATTTCAGAATGTTTTGCATAAAACTGGGGACAGAACTATATCCTGGTTAGGTGTGTTGGTAGCTTAATTGGTGGCTTTTAAGGACAAGCTGGCTAGCACGGGTTTCAGGGTTTTCCAGGAATCTTGACCTACACCAAAAGTGGGCATTGCCCTACCTGTAGGAGAAGTTTGGTTTCATTGGTGTGTATATTTGTTTGGTTATAAAAAAACTCTCCTTGTTTTTTAAAGAAACTGAAAACTGAACACGGGTCCTAAAACTTCACCTTCGATTTTCTCAAAAGAGCATTTTTTGGGATAGCCCACTTTGTGCTTAAAAAAGCGACCAATTGATGTCATGTTAGACTAGGAGAGCGGGTGGATTGGGGGGGGGGGGTGCTCTGGGGTGGTTTGCTCTTTCTTTTTTATTAAGCATCTATTGTCTCTTTATCTCTTATCCTTCTTTTATCTGTTTTTTGCTGTCTTGTAACACGTATAAATCTTCGGCACTGATATGACATTATGGTGTTGAAAAAGACAAAACTATTTCGGAAAAAAAAAAGACAAGGGTCGTAAGCAGCTGTCTGGTGTGGTTTGCTCTTCCTTTCCTATCAAATGTTTATTGTGCTTATCTCCCCTACTTTTTTTGTATATGACCTTATTGTGTTTTAAGTGACGTAAAACTCTTACTAAAACTGAGACTTCTTATTTGTGTTTGTTACTCTCTTGTAACACATCTATTCTTCGGCACTTATATGACCTTATTGTGTTGCAAGTGCCGTAAAACTCTTACTAAAACTAAAACTAAAACTAAAGCCGTCTGTAGTTTGAATCCTCAGTGGGACATTCTTGAGCTCGGTTGTCCCGGTCAGAATCGACCAGATAAGCGCAAAATTGTCAGCAGCTGACCTCTCAGATTTTAAAAATTGTCAGAATTTTTGCACTTTACTTTAGAATAAATCTTAAATTCAAGATTTATTTGACAGTCTGAATTGTAAATGTTGATTCCCCTCACCACGTGTGTCTCGGCAAGTCCAAAAAGATCAACAGGAATTTTTTTTTCCGAGCCAGCCGGCACCTCTGATAAATTGTGTTCTGTACTTTTAGACGTCCTCTTTTATTATGTGAATATGATTCTCTTTTATTACTGAGATATTCTGCAATGAAAAGTGTTGATATCTAATATTTTCTTTGTCAATTAAAACCTCCCAAGGGTTGTTTTTTCCATAGTTGTCATTTATTGAGAAGTGAGAAGTTTTCAGAATCAAAAAGTGGGTGGTTGGCGGGTGTTCTTGTGTGGTTTGCTTCTTCTTTCCTATCAAACATCCATTGTCTTTATCTTTCCTCCTTCTTTTTTTGTGTTTCTTACTCTCTTGTAACACCTCTAATCTTCGACACTTATAATATGACCTTATTGTGTTGCAAGTGCCGTAAAACTCCTACTAAAACCAAACTAAAATATGATACTCTATAATTACTGAGATATTCTGCAATGAAAAGTGTTGGGATATGATATCTTCTTTGTCAATTAAAGTAGCTGTAGGTTGTTTTTTTTTCTCCATTGTTAGTATTATTTATTGAGAAGTAAGAAGTTTCCATCCAGAACTTTCACGCTGTGGCTAACGATCCACCAAATGTTTTCAGATGTGCCCAGATCGGTGGAGACAGTTTTACCTGACTGTGGAGCCGGGGCTGCTGAAGCCGAAGAAAAGAGACAGCCGGCCGCCGAATGACGTCAACTTTTGTTACAACTGCGGTAGACACGGCCATATGGGATACGTAAGTTACTTCTCACAAAATTTTTGCTTTTTTGATTCTGGTTGACACTTTTTTGTTTTTGGTAAGTGGTTTACGGCGCTCGCAACTGCATAAGGTCATATGAGCGCGCGGGACACGCCTAATATTTTCAGTTAGTAGGAAATTTTGAATTTTGCCCG